TTTAGTTTTAATAGTAAGAAATATACTATGTTAAATAGCTAAAGTATATATAATAAATAAGTAGGTATATAGAGAGTTAGAATCTTTTATATAAGATAGTAGTTCTTAAAATTCTAGCTAAAGTAGCTCTTATAGCTATCTAAGATAAGAAGCCTATATAACTCTATCTAACGCAATTTTATATACTTATTAAAGTGCTTTAACTACTTAAGGCTAAGCTAATTATTTATTTAGCTATTCTCTAAAATAGAGAGCTTCTAGTTATATAGTATTAAGGTCTTCTTATACTATACTAAGATATAGATATATCTTTTATAGATAATAAAAGGTAGAGTTATATACTTAGTAGCGTAGATACTCTAGATAACTATAACCTACTTATAATTACTTAGCTAGATTAAGTTTAGTCTTATATAACGCTCTAAGCCTATAACTACTTTTACTAAGCTAATAACACCTATCTAGAAGCCTATCTTATTAAAGTTATAGATATTAGCGTTAAGAACTCTATACTTAGCTTTTATCTCTTATATAAGCTTAAACTAGGCGCTAATAACTTCTAGGTCTTTCTAGAGTATTCTCTAGTAATTCTTTACTTAGTTAAAAGCTATCTTAAGCTTCTTTATACGCTAAATAAAGCGCTCTATCTAGTTCTTACTAATAAGTATTTTACTATATATAGCTAGTAGTTTATCTATAATATCTACTACTTTATAAAGCTAAGAAGTAAATTCTTACGCGTCTAGCTTAAGAATATATTATATAATAGTTTACTCTTCTATAGAAGAGAGTTTCTAATAGTTTAGTAGTGCTTAAGCTTAATACTTAATTTTATTAAGCTAATTAGAAAGCTGCTAATATTATACGCTAAAAGTAGTAGTAGTATATTATAAAGTCTAAAATTAATCTAAGATATAGGCTATAAGAGTAAGTTTAATTCTACCTTCTTACTAATTAAATTCTATTATATATTATAATTGCATTGCTATTTATATATAGTATTCGCGATACTAAGAAAAAGTAGCTAGCTTAGTAGTATAGCTAGCTTAGTAGTGCTTTACGTTATTATTAAAGACTAAATTATAATTAAGTAGTTATCTATATTAGCTTAAGTAATATTATATTAATAGCTAAAGATTAAATATAGTAAAGTGTTAAGATATCTTCTCTATTAGTAAGATCTTAAGAGTAATATATTATTAGTCTATATAAAAGTCTTAGTATTAATTATAATATATACTAAGTTTATTAAAATCTACTAGTAGTCTTAAAACTACTAGCTAAGTATCTTTTAATATATATCTATTAAATAGAGTCTCTAAAATTAAGTATAAAGTACTGAATAATAACTTTAATAAAAGTAGTATATTTATATAAGTAAGTTAGAAAGTAGACTAGTATAAGTTTAAAGACTTATATAGTAGTTATACTGTATTAAAAATTTAAAAACTGTAACCTAAGTATAAGTTAATTAAGTAAAGTATTTATAATATATATTTTAAATAATATAAAACTAATATTATTACTATAATAGCTTAATAACTTTTGCTACTTTAGTAAAAGGTTTCTATATTTTTATATTTAATATCTTGTTTTGATTAGCTAATATAGTACTTTATTTCTATTAAAATATAATAAGCTAAATAGCGTTATTAATTAATAAATCTTGCTAGATTTCTTTATAGAATAAGATATTTAGAGTGTAGTTACTATAATAAAGCGCTTTAAGCCTACGTACGTGTTAGAGGCTTCTAAGGTCTCGTTTAAGCTGACATGCATCTACGCGACGCGGACAACTCTCTCTGCGCCCTGCAAGGCTTGGTCCGCTCGTACGCAGAACCTGAGAACATTCGTCGCAAATCAGCTCACAAGCTTAATACATCCGGTCGCTCTCGTCCGCCAAAGTTCGTTCACCCAATAACCTATCTCCGTTTGTCAAATGAAAGGTGAACCTCTCACGCCATGCTCGTACGGAGGGGGCGTGCTCTGCGCGTCAGCCTGAGAGACTCAACGTACGGCGTGCTTCTCCGCGCGTTTGGACCGTAGGCTACAGCCATGTTGAAGCTGCATTGCTCGCTGCGCCCCAAAGTCTCCACCATTTGCGCTTCAACTCTACCTCGTCCGACGCGGATATAGGATGCCGCATGTGCAAACACCGTCTTTATTGTTCTATTTAATGCTTCATGTCCGCGCATCTGAGTATGGAACGCATCACGCTTAGACTTGCATCGCTTCAACCTCCGCTATGCCTAACACTACTTTTAACCCCGACGCTCTCCCCGATCTCAAGGACAAAGTGTTCATCGTCACCGGAGGAAATTCAGGCATGTACGTGTTGCAAACACCATTAGTGAATGACCTATTCAACTAACAATACCTTCAACAGAGGATACTACACCGTAGCCCATCTCGCAGAACATGGCGCGCACGTATACATGTGCGCTCGCAACGTGGACAAGGGCACAGAAGCAATAGCCAGAATCAAGAAGATGCACCCCTCCGCCCACATCGACCTTCTACAAATGGATCTCAAAGACCTCACCAGCGTTGTCGCAGCCGCGCAACGTTTCCTCACGCTCGAGACCGCGCTGCACGGCCTCATCAACAACGCCGGCATCATGGCAACGCCATTCGAGCTGACCCAAGACGGGCACGAAGCGCAGTGGCAGACCAATTACCTGTCGCACTGGGTATTCACACACCACCTCCTTCCCTTGATGCTGACAACATCTAAAATGCTTCCCCCCGGAAGCGTGCGCATCGTCAATCTCACTTCGTCCGGCCACTTGCAAGCGCCGAAAGGCGGAATTGACTTCGATAACCCCGCGTTGAAAGATGCGGGCGACATGGCTCGCTACGGGCAGAGTAAGCTCGCTAACATCCTGCATACCAAGTCGCTTCACAAGGCGTACGGTCCGGGGTCAGCAAGCGCCACCAACAACGAGGGAGAAATCTGGACTTCTTGTGTGCATCCGGGGCTCGTGGAGACGAATCTGCAAGAGGGTGTGAATAAATCGAATTTGGCCATGCAGGGCATGATCACCGTCCTGCGAAAGACTGGTATGTTTTGGTCGTCGGATAGGGGCTCGTACAATAGTCTTTACTGTGTTGCGGGTGATGGCATGAAGGCGGAGCAGAGTGGCGGGTATCTTGAGATCTACGGTCGCTTTGGGGAGCCAACGTGCGAGAGTAAGCCTGCGAGGAATGCGGCGCTTGCGGAGCGGTTGGAAGAGTATACCAAGGAGGAGATGAAGAAGGGAGGTTGGGTTCAGTAATGATGTTGTACATTTTCCTTCTTGCTTTCAAGATATAATGGGAACTTAGATGGGCTTTGTAATACGTAATAGAAGTTTGCTAGACGATATGTAGAGCGCAATCATGATGCGATTAGAATGAAACGAGAGAACAGTCGCTAAGAATGGCGTAAAGACCAAAGTGTACGAGGCGAAGGCCCGCCACAAATATGATGCTCACGAAGTCCCGGACGTACGTGTGGCTTTCACCTTTCGAGACCCAGGACCGTCATCACAGCTCTGATCTTCAACGCAGTCATCAGCTTCCTCAATCTTCTTCCGCTTCTTGCCCTCCTTATGATGAACGGCTTTATGATGCTCATTCATCTTATCCTTCCTTCCCCTAAAGCCTCTACCTTTCTTGCCGCCTACTGGATTCCTGGAGCGCACACAGCCAGACTCTGGGCAGAAGTACTCGATCGAACGACGCGCGTGTATGTTCTCGTGGTGTCGCTTGAAGTCAGCATGACGGTTGAAGGTAAGGTCGTCACCATCGTCGAGGCAGGCTTCGTTGAGACACTTGAACTTCCCCGCTAGGGTGACTTGACCAATGGTTGGATCGGTACGGGAAGACGGAGAGTTCGATGTGCGGCGCCGACGTCTGTTTGAGCGTTGTGGGCTTGCAGGTGAGGACCGGGTAGGAGAGCAGGAGCTGGGTTGAGAGTAGCTCTCCGACGCGATGTGGCGGGGCGGGGTCATGCGACTAGACAGCGGTGAGTCTACGATCATCATGGGCCTTTGTCTTCATGCTTACGGTTGGTTTTGAAAAGGTGCATGTTCGCCAAATGGTGCTTGGAAGACACGAGAGCTGGGTGAAAAGGTGGATGAAAGAGCTGAATGTCTGCGTTTCCGACGTTAGAGTCGACTCTGGAGTTTAAGAACCAAAGAACTAGGTTTCCATTTTGTTCCAGGCGATGGGATTCTCTGGTCGACAATCTATCGATAACAAGAACGGTGTTCCAAGGTATGTAATGGTCATGGGAGATAGGCGGTAACTGATCAGGTGGAACAGGATTCAGCTAAGACGCTGATACAGGTAGATAGCGAGGAGGTGGTATCTTAGACTGATATGTGTCGTGGCCAGGTCCAACATGCTGAAGAGTCGTAAAATGGTTGCTCATTGAACCTTCTGGCACTCTACGGAGGAGCGGTTCAAATGTATCTCTTGTGTAAGGTTTTGGGTGATGCTGCTAATCGAAAGGCTCTCTATGGATATCTCCACACTCATCTGAGCTTGCTCATGTCCTTCTCTTGCTATGAGTTTGGCATTGTCGCTTGTAATGAGATCATTCGCGTTGAAGACAGACGAAAAGAACTAGGCAAGCTTTACCTTTCAGAATGACACATCGGCTGATGATGGTCCAGAATATGGTAGAGGCAATTATTCTAGGTGAGGTTAAGTCATCGGGGTGAATGGCTTGGGTCAGGTCCTGAGAAGCCATAGAGTGAAAGGTTGAACCTCTAATGCTTTACTTGATGTGGGAGTAGTGAGCGTACGTCCGGTGACTGCTACTTGTATGATAAGGTCGGGGAGTTCAATCGTTGCCAGTGCCAGGTACCGGATAGTTCGATAGAGCGGCGACGCTAACCTCGCTATGTAGAGGACCAGTCGATTCAAACGTTGCTTGATGGTAGAGGCAGGTGCTTGGAAGTACCAGAAGAGTGCGCAGATCACAGCGTAAAACTGCGAACGAGTAATTGGACACTTCAGTCGAAGTACGGTGCGCAAGTTCGTTCGATTTCATGTGATGAGCAACGAGTTACCATGACGCAGATGCGTTTGTCGCCTTTCGCTGAACGGATTGAAGCCGTGCGATGTTCCAGGTTGAGGGTTTCCAGTATGCCAATGTAGAGTCCATTCATACGAGTAAGTGCATCCAAACGGTACAAGATGTTTCCAGGTCTGGATGTAAATGACGGTTCCATGTTCCAGGTTGGATTTCGAACAATCCTGTGGCTTGTTGATCGCAAACTGAATATTCTGAAGGAAACTTACTCGTTATCGTATCCAAAGTGACCAAAAACCTTGCTCTCATCCTCACGTTCTGGCATGCCTTCGTCGATGATGTCGTTGATCGCATATTCGAATGGGCTCATCGCTGCCGCTGCAAAATGCTCGTATTCCATGTTTGGCGAGATGTCAGATGACCGTCGGGGACGAAAGTGCACGGAATGTGAGTTTGATCGAAATGGATAAGGCTGAGGCGCAGTGCGTTGGCTTGCTGACGTGCTTGAGATGGAGCGGGACATTGCTGACCCAGTCGGAACCAAGATACTTCCAAATGAACCGCGGGACGCTCGCTGCAGGGATGTAGACAATGATCGCTGACCGGAAGATACTGATGAGTATTGCGAAGCCGATCGCGACATGTCACCGTTCACCGGAACTTGTGTGTAGCCGATGGGGCTGTGTACTGTTTGGTGTATATTGGCACAAGGCTGAGCCTCAGCCTGGTGAGAGATCGAGTGTCGTGGTGTGCCGCCTATTGACGAGCAAGAGAACATTGAGTCATGTCGATGAGTTGTTGTTGGCGAAAGCAGCTGCTGGTTGTTTCGATATTGTGAAGCTGATTCGATAGTGTTCTGACCGTTGATGTCGACACCAATTCCTTGACCGTTAAACAGGTCACGCATACTGCCGCCCCCGAAGAAGTATGTGTTGTTGTCCATGTGTAAGAGAACTGCAGGAGTGAAATGTTGAGTAGTGGGCACTAATGGGTAGCGTGAGGCAGCTGTGGGTGTATCAGGAAAAGTGCTGGGCTCGGATGGAGTGATGGTGAGTACAGGAGCTAAAGTCTGGATGGCAGCATGCCACAATATAGCTTCAAGTGAAGCGACTAGGGCAAGCGCCCTGAACTTTCCTTTTCGAAGGACCTCTGCAGCCCGCCTGCATGTATTGAGCCTCGAGGTGGCTGTTCGCACTGAGGCATACCAAATTCCAAGGCAAACTAGGCAAATGGGGCTTACGCGGGTCTTTTGGCTGTGAGGGCTGCATGCAGACTGCGACAGCAGTCGATAGCCCAACGATTGTGATTGGGCACGTTGATTGCGACATGCGAGTACTATCTGCAAGGTGAGAATGCTGAGGACATGGCATGAGGTACAAGTGGGAGAGGTATCTTGGAAGTAGCCGCACGATCACATGCAAGCAGAAAACGGCAGGCGCACCCGACCGCCTCACCTTTCGTCGGGGTCCTTCAAAAGCTAGCCATCACTCTCCAATCTGGATTGAACCAAGTTCCTGTCGTCGACACCATGATGGATCGTTAATTTCTTTTACTCATCTTTCGACTATTGGTTGACGTCTCACGCCTTCACGCTCCACACCTTGATGCTCGCATCGCCTCCCGCCGAAATGACCTTGAGACCCTTCTCCCATGCGACACCATTGACGCCATCCTTGTGAGCGTTAAGAGCCTTGATACGCTTGCCAGGGTCTTCTGTGCTCCAGACCATAACATTGGTGTCCAGACTGCCACTTGCGGCATAGTTCTCACTCTCGTCCCAGGCCAGGCAGGTGATGCGGGCGGTATGGGCACTCCATCTGTCCGTGATAACCTTCCAGTCTCCGCCTACCTCAAATGCGTAGATCTTACCGTTTCCAGCACCCACTGCCAGCTTCTTGCCTGAGGCAGAAAAGGCGAGTGCGGAGATGGGAGCAGTTGCACGGCGGAGCACTGTGTCAGTCTCCTTGAGCTCAGTGCCAGTAAGGGTGTAGATGTGTACTAGCTTGTCATCTCCACCAACAGCAACGGTAGAGCCGTGCGCTGCGATTGAGGTCGGGGCGAATTTGACCGGTAACGAGCTGACCTGGGCCCCCTTAGAGTATACTGCGATGGCATCGGTAGAAGGTATTAGCACGGTGCTCGATGTCGCGGCAACGCCCTTGGGTTGGAATTTGAGATCGTGAGCCTCGCCAGTGAAGATCTTGTCTGGAACAGACATGGAGCGTAACGTGTCATCCCAGCCAACACTGTACAGCTCCGCCTCATTCTTGCTGTCGGAGGTCGTGATGCCGGCAACGTAACTTGAATGCGCTGCGCCTTCGACCTTGTCAGCCAATCCAGTCGTGGTGTCCCATGCGAGGACTCGGCCGTCATAGCTTCCCGTGGCGAAAGTAGATCCAGCGATGGCAGCCGATGTAATGTTCTTGGAATGGCCACGGATGATGCGCGTTGGCTTTGGGTTGCCGTCGACGAGGTAGTTCAGGTTTCCTTCGAGATCCACACTGACGATCAGACCATCACTGCGGCCGGTGGGCCATACCACACCAACCTGCTGGTCGGGTATGCTAGCGACGCCTTCCTCGCCCATCCTCCAGGTCTGAATGTTTTTGCCTGCTTCCGGGTCCCATATCCGGACCGTCTGGTCCGCACTGGCTGTGACGAACTTCTTTGAGTCCTTGGACCACGACACGCCGAAGATGCTGCCGGTATGTACACCCTCGCCAATCTGTCCCTTTGCCTCGCCGGTTTTGCCATCGTATAGCCATATGCGCTTGTCGGCGCCAACGCTTACGAATACTGAACCGTCGGGCGAGAAGGCGGTGCCGAAGACGAAGCGGTTGTGCTGACCTCTCAGACTGGTGTTGAACTTGAAGGGAGCGCCGTGGTAGAAGACCAGGCTGGTATCGTCGGAGCCCGTGGCGGCGCGGAGGGGTCGTTGCTGGCGGATAGACACGCAATTGATCTGTGACGAGTGGCCTGAGATCTCGCCCACGCTGTTGCCGCTGTCTGCCGTGATGCAGTGGCCGAAGCGCTCCTTGCCGTCGCCGACAGCTATGATGCGCTGCGAGTCGCCGTCCCATGCCAAGTCGTTGATGCGGCCTGCGATGATGTGGTAGTCGCCTGCACCGCGTCAGCTCCCTCGCTCTGTATCCTGCTATGCCTCACCCACCTTTTGTAGCTCCTTCACCTGCGCAGTCCCACACTTTAACAGTACCCGAGACATCTCCACTAGCTACGTAGAAGCCGGAGGGCGAGAAGCGGGCGACAGTCGTCTGAGTCGTGTGTTGGGTGTATTGTTTACTAACAGCCGGGTCGTCGATGGAGCGCAGGAAGACGGATTTGCCTGACTACATGTCCAATTAGCTCCGCGAAAGCTTCGGGTAGTCGAGAGACTCACGGCATAGGCAATCCGTTCGCCCTTGGGGTCCGAGGAGAGGGGTGTTGCCTGTCCGCGCGTTGTCGAAGGGGACGCTGCCCAGATGGCATCTGTTTATGGTTAGTAGCTGCTATGCAGAAGCTATCTGGGAGCTCATACCTGATACTAGAGACATTGTGCGCGCAGTTCGAAGGACAGTGAGTAGCAAAGGGTACGTGCTGTGTCAATTGCAGAGGAAGCCTGCCTGTAGCTGCCAGCGTTGGCGGTGGCCTCTGCGTCGTCACCGCCTACGTTTCAGCGACCAGCCACGAGTCGCGGGGCAGGTGGGGGTGGCTCCTTCATGACAGCTCACCTGGGGGTAGCTACTGAACATGTTCACATGTTACTCAGGTACCAGCTCTACATGTCAGCACCCATGGTCCGCGTTCCTGTTGCTGATCGTCCAGCTTTGCGGCATGCTTCAGCCAACATCGCATTTCATCATCGACGCCAGGTCTAGAACGAAATACCGCCGAGATGACTATTTAAATAACTCCTTCGATCAAGGATACATCCCAGAACCACATGCGCATGCTTGCAATTCACCGCTGACTGCATGGAAATATCTGGTTGCGATTTGAAGAGGCTGGCACACCGAACAACCTTGGAATGCCCCAGCAGACCCTTGGCGCACGTCATTTCCGCGCGTTGCAAGTCGCGTTGAGATATCTTCAAGACTGAACCGATATACAACTGCATCCTGCATCATTGACTCACTGTCTCGCACATCGCCCATTCTGGACGCTATTCGCTTCCCTCGTTCGCTGTCGCGTCGTTCGCTGTACAACGTCATCACCCGGGAACCCGGCATCCGGTAGCCTACATCCTCAACATCATCATCACCATTCTCATTGCGGAAGAGCAAAGACATCAAACACCATCAACATGTGTCTCATGCGGTCTTACGAAACGCGCGGTCGTACCGTCATTGAACCACCTCCCCGACGAGGAAACTACACGTCCCATACACCAGCCGGCGTAATGCGTCTGCCGCGCGAATGGCGCCGGACCTCAGTCGAGAGCTTCAGCGACGACGGCCGCTACGTCGAGTACAGGTTCGTAATAACTTTATGGCACCATTGGTTGTCTGACACTTACATCATCCAGGCGATCGCGATCTCGTCCCCGTGCTATTGAGTACGTCGAAGAGCCTCGCATACGTGCAAGGAGCCGTGCGAGGAGTCGGGCGAGGAGTGTGTCCAGGCGACGAATCAGCGACGTTGAGATTGTCAGGCCAGCAAGGACCAGCTACATTGACCCTCGTGGAAGTGGTTACGTGGACGAAAGAGTTACGAGGCGAAGCGTCAGCCGAGTAAGACATTGAGGAGTCACACCTCTGCAGACGGGAACATGAGGTATGTGTGATCACAGAACAGAGCAAGCTCGTGCGTGCTAACACGCTCAGGTTTTGAATTGAATATGTACATATGGGATACATAGAAGTTTTGTAATTACGAACGTTTAACTTTCAACAAACCAACAATGCCTGCGGCAAGAAATGTCCCATGTTGCTCACCAACTTCTTGAAGCCTACCCACTTCGAAGATCATCCCTTCAGGCCTAACACAACAAGCCATCTAATAGCTCAACAGCAATCTACGATGGAAATATTTCGGAAACTCCCATCCGGAGATAAATAATAGTGTACATCTTAGGGCGTAGCAACCCCTGCCGCTAACCGCTTCCGAGCTGCACTCCAAGGTGGGGCGCTATATCCGACTCATAGCTAAACTTCGTCATCAGATTTTGAGTCACGATGAGGGAACGACATACAAGTCTTTGAAAACAACGCTCATTCTCACCAATCTACTCATCGTCCCAATCCTACACCATGGCATCCAACCCAATGCAACGATGCTGCATCATCGGCGTAAAGCACTCAGGCACACCACAAGGCCAAATCAAACACATCGACAACAGTACACCTCCCTTCATCCCCATCCCTTAACCCTTCCCATCTAACCCACAAACAAGTCCGCACATAC